TTGTTTGTGGACTTTAGGAGGAACTGGAAACCTGTGACCACTGTTTCAATCCAGGGGGTCGATGTTGACATTGTGGAGGGCTATAAATACCTCAGAGTAGACATAGACAATAAACTGGACTGGGTTCAAAACACCACTGCACTGTACAGGAAGGGCCAGAAATGTCTCTATTTTCTGAGGTGGCTGAAGTCTTTTAACATCTGTCGGTCAATGCTCAGGACTTTCTATGAGTCTGTGTGGTGAATGCCATCCTCTATGCTGTCGCATGCTGGGGCAGAAGGTTAAGAGTCACAGATGCAAGCAAACTCACTAGATATTATCCAAGGTAAGGACAACGGTAGACAATACCTCCCACCCACTGCATTACGTGCTGGCCAGTAAAAGGAGCAGGTTCAGTAAGAGACTGAGATCAACCAAATGCACCACTGAGTAATACAGGAAATCATTCTTGCCTGTGGCTTTCTCTCTGTGTATCTCTCTCTGATTCTCACATATGATCAATTGTGGGTCAACGACCTCCTTAAGAGATAAGGGATGAAATATCCCACTAGGGATTAAATATCTAGGACTCACCACCATTTGGTATTAGAACTGAAGAAGCTCAGATGAGAGGTAAAACATCTTCAAGAAATTTAAAGAAGCCAAGTTTACTTTTTTTCACAAGCTCCTTAAATCTGTCTTTTTCACTTATTTTTCTGTGTTTCAGATGATTTGTTGAAAATATTTGACAACAGATTAAGGTTAAAAAGAAAATAAAAACTGAAAGATTACCTTTGCTAGTGACAGCCAAAGAGATGCCAGAGGAAGGGGCCACTCAAAAATACAGGCATCTGTCATTTGACTGCAATGTCATCTGACTTAGAGGCAGGAGGGTAATGGAAGGGGAAATATAATTTGTCAGATGTTTCAAATTGCCTGTCATGTTTTCATACTCTCCCTTTCATTACAGTACATCATATTAATGTGTTCACTGAGCCCTTGCAGCTGTTGGAGTGTGTAAATTATTACATGTGGTGATCATATTTATATTATACAAAGATTTTCTCTCTTATAAGTCATTGTCATTACCAAATGGACAACACAGGGTTTGATCTCTGATTATGAGATAACGACAAAGAACAGTGAGAGACAAAGATAATATATACACAAGAGGGAATCAGGGCAGAGGGGACACACCTGGGGAAAACGGCTGGATGGCCTGATAAGACGGGTGAAGCAAAACTGAGCAGAATTCACACGAGAGAAGGACTGTCAAAATAAAACAGGGAACATAAACACAGAGACAGAGACCTTGACTGAAAAAATACAACTAGACACAAGGAAAGGGTAAACAAACAGGGATAAGACCCACAAACAGAGTGACACAGACTTGACACTTGTAAACAGACATGACTGACCACAGGGGCTACATGCTTTTCTCAATGGTGTTTAATTTTTTACATTTTTATTGTTTCAAAGTGTAGACCTTCAGACCACAGTAAAACTTTAGAAGCGAGAGACAAAATGGAGGATCATGCAGTCGTTTTCCCTCCAGAACACCTTTCCAGGGGTAGAACTTCAGGAGAATAACGCTAGTCCCAATATCTGAGAATGGTTTTTCTGTCTTATGCCAGATTGCGGATATCTCCCTTAGAGAAGTCATGAATAGCATTGTTACCTCCACACTGAAAGATTACACATTAAAAATTGAGATAATTTGGACATCTGACTGGGGCACTTTGGGATGTCCCAAACACCCCCAAGTGTTTGGGATACACTGGTGCAGACCCAGCACATCTGTCAGCTGGTTTGAGAACACCTCGGTGTCCCCCACAAAACCTAGTAGAGATGGAGATCGTCAGTTTGTGTTTTAATCTGCGGAAATGTAAAAGCCCTCATAAACCAAAACTACATGCTAGTCCAATAAATTTGTCCGTCCACACTATTCACAAACAAATGAGCAATAAATCCTTTAAATCCTGATGTCACGATTTGCAGAGGCAGAGGTGTGTGTGATTTTTATGAGGACCCAAATCCAGACCACAGAGAGACAAAAAACTGAATTAAACTGAAGCCGTGCTGTTTATTTAGGCAGACATATCAAACAGGGGGAACCCCCCCCCATAAAAAAAGAAACTAAGAAACACTTAAACTGGGGGAACAAAGAAATAAACACAAACCCCGTAACACTAGAAAAACCCTCGGAACCTGGAAACTGGGAGGAACACGGGAGGAAACGCAGATGCACTGTAAAAGGCCAGTGGAAAAATAATATATACAGAAAGGAGGCGATCAGGGGAACCCGGAAACAGACAGGGAACAGCTAAGACAAACTAAGGAACTGAAGGAAGCAAAAAAAAGAACACACTTAATGCGCAAGACTGTCAAAATAAAACAGGAAGCACAGAGACACAGACTTGACATAACATCAGGGATAAAACAAGGAGGCAAACAAGAAAACATACAGGGGAGCTTAGAAGAGACACAAGGAGAGCTGCACGGGAACAGGAAAGGGAGGTGAAACACAGAGACCCTACTAGAACAATTTGCATTTCCTGCAAAAATGCTGTGTGGATGCTGTAACGCTGAAGCTGTCTGCTGAAAATAGCTGAAAAAGATGAAAAGTTGCAAAAATTGTAAAAGCTTTGCAGAAGCATAAGAACTTAACAAAAATGTAATTACTTAGCAGAACTGCAATAACTTAGAGGAAACATAATACTTGGCAGAAATACTATAACATAGCAGAACTTAGCAGAAATATTGTAACTTAGCAGAAACATGATAACTTCTCAGAAAAACAAGAATTTAGGAGAAATGCGATAAGATGACAGAAATACTATATTTAGCCCAAAATACTTAAACATTACAAAAGGGAAAATATTTAGGAAAAATACTACAACATAGCAGAAAAACTGTCATTCAGTAGAAATATTATGATTTAGCAGAAATACTGTGATGTACCACAAATACTTTAATTTAGCAGAAAAACTATCATTTGACACAAAACCTATGATTTAGCACAAATAGTATAACAGCAAAAATACCATGATTTAGAAGAAATACTATATTTAGAATTTTTTTTTTAGTAGAAATACTATGATTTAGCATAAATACTATGATATAGCATAAATACTATGATATAGCCGAATTAATATGATTTAAAACAAATACTTTGATTTAGCAGAATAGTAATAACTGAAGCAAAAATATTGGAGAAGCAAAATGACCAGCTGAAAAAAGCTGAACATGGTTAAGTTCCCTCAAAACAAAAAACAAAACAAGAAAGAACAGCCAACAGATACACACAATTACAAGTATGGACACATATAGAAACAAAAATGCACAGAGAGAGACACACACACAGGATCTATGCCAGTCAACCAGCATCTCATTATCTTACAATGAGATGCTGCCAAAAAAAGGCACTCTCTCTCTCTCTGTCTCAAACACACACACACACACACACAGCTGGAAGTGAACAGGGGCTGTTAATAGTGTTGCTAGTGTTGCTGTATGTTTCTAGGTCAATCAAACAGCCTGGAGCTGCTCAATTTGAATCCACCAATCAGAGAGGCTGCCTGTTTCCCGCCTAAACAGCTGCACCTGGTGCAGCCCTTTACACACACATAGGCACAGAGAGAGACAGGCTTTTTGCTCTGTATTTCTCATAGTGAGGATTCCCCTCGAACAAATGGCCATACTTCCTTAACCATAGGGGCTAGAACGGTCATTCTTAGACCGTTTTGTTCAGAAGAGATGGGGGAATCTTCAAGTGTTGAGTATTTATAATTTAAATTTTATTTAAAATAAAATATGGATTATTAGAGATATATGACTTCTAATGTACCATAACTGAGTAGAGGCAAAGCGAAAACTGCCTTGACTTGCCCTCAAACAACGTTTTGTAACTCTAAATCTATATTGAGCATCGATATCATTCTTTCACTGTAAGATAAAGCAGGCTTTGGTGAACAGTCATGGAAATTTTCAGGTCTCTGTGGAAATCCATCAAAAAGATATGACAAGAGAAAAACGTGCTTCATTTCCAGAGTTTGAAATCTGAAGAAATCTCAGCAAGAGACGAATTTCCTACCCTCAAACAAACGTAATTCATGGCCAAACGGTAATGGGGGATAAAAAAATTCTTGAATTGTGAGCGTCAGGAGTGTCTGAAGATATATTGGCACAAGCCTCATGTCTTCACTTCGCTTCGTTAAGGAGATATGGCGATTCAAATATGCGTCTCATTAGAGAATTCCAGCACTGATTTTGAACAAACTCTCCACTGAGTTTCTATGGAGAGTTTTCAGACTTTGTGTTGCTCTGAGGAGATTTGCCAAAATGCTGTAACTCCCACAATAATGATAGTGACATTTTCTGAAAGCCAGCAAAAATACCTATGTTTTGATGTATAATTTGTGGGGGTTGAGTGAAAATTGAGCGAGTAGCAAGAAGTTGTTCGGACATGAAGAGAAAATTCAGAAAGGTCCAGTGGCCACTCTAAGCCAACTGCATAGTAACCATAACAACGCATGTATTTTCTGAAAAATCACAATGATGCAACTGAAAACTTAAAGAGGGATAAGATTAAAACGGCAACAGATATGAAAAAGCTGAATGATACATGAATAGCCCAATAATTTGACAACAGTTTAAAGTTTGAATGGTTTTTCTACGTGAAAGTATGAGGAATTAGTTAAGTTTCAAAAACAAGCAAGTTTTAGAAGAATTTTGGAAATTTCCCATTCATTTCAATGGGACAAAAAACGGAATAAAAAGCTTAATATTTTAAAAAGTATAATAGTAAAAAATAACAAAAGTCATAGCACACATTAGCAAAAATAGCAGAATAGCAAAAAATAAAGAATAAAGAGAAACATGCCAACAGCATCCACACAATTAAAAGTGTAGATCATTTGGTTAAATGATTACTCTGCACAACTTGTCTGTTATGACCTGTGTGGGCTAATACAATACTATACTATACTATACTATACTATAAAGCACTGTAAGTGATGACAGCAGAAAGGTTCCATATAAATGCCAGAGAATCCTATCATTCATTTTCTTTACGAGCCCAGGGTTGCTGAGAATGGCTACATTCAATTTTTAGATTAACTGATAGACTGTTTGATAATTTTTCTGATAAATAAATAGAATCTTTTATTTGTTTATTTGTTCATTTCTATTTGTGTTATTACATTATATGTGGAATAACAAAAGAGGAAGTGTGTGTGTGTGTTGCGGTAGTGGTGGTGGGGATAGCACTAGGACCACAAAAATTAAAAGGGCCACAGGCACCCAAGAACCACCCAGCACTCCCAGTAAGGGAGAGGTCCAAGACACCCCGAGCTACCGAGTCAGTCACGCACCCCGAGTGGTGACCCCGTCTCACCCGGGCTCAGCAAGCCCCAGACCCAGGCTGAGCAATGCACGCACACATGCACACACACAAACCACTCACTAACTCACTCACTTTCATCCACCCACTAACGACACACAGAGAGATAAAGACACATATACATGCACTGACCCCCCCCTCCCCTGTGGTGTTGGCAAGCAGATGCTGCTATTCCAGTGATTTCTGTTACTATAGTTAACTGAACCTTCATAGGTCAGCTGCCAAGGTTAATTAACACTCTGAGATGAACAACTGTATATCACGATTCCTTTTGACTTCTTTGTATGTTATGAGCTTTGTACGAATCACTGTAGAGGCCAATGGACAAGCAGAAATCTTTGCATTATACAGTGCCGTTGTAAATATTGCCACATCTTTCTGTGTCTTACAGACTGCAGTGTGATGAGCACCATGGACCGGCTACTGTGCATCACTCTCGTGTTCATGCATAAGCTCCTCCCATTATTGCTGGCCCACTGAAGAGACATCAGGCAAACCTGTGAACCTGCAGCATTCTTACTTTCTATGTCAAACAGAAACCAAGCAGCACTCAATGGTTACCAGAAAGAGGGGGACACATTTAATCAGTGTATATCTATGGTGTTGCATCACATCTTTGCTAGGAGTAAAAGCAAAGCAACACAGAACGCAGGAGCTTGACACACAAATAAAAGAGATGGACCCCCCTCTGTCATGACATGATGGAGATAAAGTCTTGATGGCTGACAGCGGACAGGAGAAAAGAGCACATAAAAATAAAACCAGCATCACTAATGATCCACAGAATCATTCAGCCTGTGTACTCTGTGCTCAAACACTCCTCACTG